TATATGAGTTTGAAATGCCAGGGAAGGAAAGGGTACTGTTTTGGAAAAGATGGTCTGTAAAGACCTTTTAATGAGTGGCCACTTGGGCAAAAGCCTGAGTGAAGAGAGGAAGAGGTTTCAACATAAGTAGTGTCTCCAGGGTGGTGCTACTGGGAGACTGTGGACCTTTGGGAAGTGAGGCTTCATAAGAAGCTCTTAGGTCCCGCTGGGACATATCACCCTCATTAGAGGCAGAAACCTATGGTATGAGGCCATTCAATGCTGGTCTTGAACCTCCAGAACCCAAATAAGCCTCTTTGCTTTGTAAGTGTTGGTATTTCATTGCTGTTCCATGAAGCTAATACAGGGAAGGAGTGAAGTTTACAAATATCTGAGGGGAAGCATCCTGTGGGAAAGATGAAGCAAGGGAAAATCCTGGACAAACACAAGAGGGGCTTCTTGAGGTCATAGGCAATGCCTGCATTAGAACCAGCAGTTGCCACAGTGCTGCTGTCACCACCATGCTGGATAACAGTTATGCAGCACTCACTCTGGGTTCTGGACCCTGCCTTAAGCACATCACACGTTAGCTTATTTAAGTATAACTGATGAGGTTGAAAGTATCATTAACTCCACTTTTTAGAAAAGAGAAATGAGGTGCAGTCTAGCAACTTGCCTAAGACCACCTACCTGGTAGTTATGAAGCTGGGATTTGAACCCAGGCAATCTGGCTCCAGTGTTTTTGTGTCTTAGTCTCTAAAGAAATAAAGACCAAGTGCAGCTAATTAAAAGATATTATGGGCCATACACTAAACTTTTAAGACCTAGCCTGACCCAATGTTCCATATGAAGAATGATCTACCATAGCTATACTTTTTTAAAAATTTATTTAATATTTTTATTTTATGTGTATGAGTGCATTGCCTGCCTGTAAGTGCACCCATGTCATCAAATGCCCATAGAGGTCAGAAAAGGGTGTCAGATTCCTCTGGAACTGGAGTTGTAGATAGTTCTTAACTGCCATGTGGGTGCTGGGAATCAAACCCAGGTCCCCTGCGAGAGCAGCCAGTGTGCTTAACTGCTGAGCCCTCTTTCCAGGCCCCTTGCTTTTTTTTAAAGACAAGGTCTTATTTTGTAGCCTTGTCTGGGCTGGAACTTGATTTGTAGACCAGGTTGGCCTTGAACTCACAGAGATCTGCCTGTTTCTGTCTCCTAAGTGCTGGGATTAAAGGTGTGTGCCACCATGCCCAGCCCATAACAATACTTTTGGTTTCAAATAAGTGAGTTTATTAAGCAAAAGAATAAATAGCAAGTGGCAGATAGAGAGATAGCAAAACACCATCAAATTGTCCACTTAGGACCTTCAGTACAAGCCACTGGGGTAGCCTGATTGAAAAGCAAGTAAAAGTAGTATGATCAAATCAGACACTTAAAATATCCAGTGGAAATGACTGGAGAAGCCCTTCTGAAACCGTCACGCCAAAGATCCTGACTGACAGATTTCTCTGGATGAATTTCCAGCTTCCCATTCCCTCTATAGTGCTTTTATATCATGGGATAAACCTGTTAAATATGGTTTGCCTTCTAGCT